TTCAGAGGAGGCATCCTAAGGGGATAGTTTTAGATGGAATGGACTGTCTGGACCCCAGGGTGAAAGATTGGAAGAGAAGGAGGCTGCCAAAGAGAAGGAAGACAGGAGAGAGCATCCTCTGCCCTGTTTCCTTCACATAGACAGTGAATTTGAAATAGTAGCTGTCAAATTAGGCATCCCCAAGATGACAGGATTGAGGCCCCTGGGGCCAGAAGGGTGTCCTCGGCCCAACACTGAGACTTTTGGATAGAAAATGGACAGACAGTTGAGGAACCTGGGTAAAGGCAAACCTCTATCCAGCTTACCAGCTGGGAGGTGATAATTTGGATGGAGATAACCACAGTTGGCAATAGAGGTCTGGGGTTTCCTTCCTGGGTCTGGAAAGGGGTTCAGGATGGGTGGTGGTGGGTAGTGGGGGTAGCCTTGGAGCAGGGAAAGAGAGAGAGAGAGAAAGAGCTGCCAGCACCTACTCCTGTCTTGGATTTCGGCACCAAAATGTAAGGTTGACCAAAAGGATGGAGAGACAGACCCAGGGTAAGGTTTAGCAAGTTTATTTCAACATGCCAGGCTGGCTGCCTCACCACAAGCAGTGAAGGCTTGTGTGCAAGACATAGTACAGACAATGGGGATTATATAGGGCGTTTGCAGGTGGCTGGGTGCTAATCTAAGAGAAACTGCCTCTTGGTTCTTAAGTGCTAACATCCTGCTTAATTGGGTCACCATCCTGGATTCAAGAGCTGGGTGCAACCACATCCTGGTACCCAGGTTCCCTGTTTGCAATGCATGAGGCTGTTTTTGCTGTGAGCTAGGCTTAGCAGGGGAGAACAGGGAGGGGGGTCTATGGGCTTGCCTTGCTGCGACCCTAATAGGTTGGAGCAGTGGGAAGGGGTGAGACTGTCAGTGAAACCTTAGTCCTATGAAAGTTTTGATTGAGGCCGGGCGTGGTGGCTCATGCCTGTAATCCCAGCACTTTGGAAGGCTGAGGTGGGCAGATCACAGGGTCAGGAGATCGAGATCATCCTGGCTAACAGTGAAAATCCGACTCTACTAAAAAAAATAAAAATAAAAATTAAAAAGTTTTGATTGATTTATTTGGTAATAGCAGAATTTTCCAGATATCTGAAAGTACGTTTTTTTTAACCAAAATGTTAACTTTAACTACTTTGGATAGGAAAAAAAATCCTAAAATTATGATATAACTTTCTTGAGTTTAAAATGAATATTAAGATAGGAATCTTCTTAATGCCTTAGGCCCATCAATTATAGCCCTGGGCTATAATTTAGTGATGTCCTTAGGCCATTTTGAATATGTAGAAGCATTTAATATCCTTAGCTAAATGGCCTCCAGCTGATATTTTGAAAAAATTTCTAAGTATACCTTTTATACCTTTTTTACTTTTTTGTAACTGTCAGTTTTCATTTTTAACTTTGTCAGTTTACTGTATTTGCTTACAGAGGCTTCTCTCCAGTCTCCTCTGAATTGGTTCTCTAGTATCTAAACTTTATCACTTGTTATAAATACAGACAAAGTAGGTATAAGTTGACATTTAATAAGGTTGCAGTAAGTCTTTCATGGGTAAAGCTTGCACAATTAATGCATAAGCCTTGGATTTTGCCAGGGGAGGGACCCTTTACTCGGGCAAGGGCTGCCTGATTTCTTATTGGGAAAGGTATTGGTGTGTTCCATCTGTGGAGAGGAAGAGTGGTTAAAGAGCTGTTAGCAGTGGTTTCAGCCGTAGCTAAGCCTTTTGTGATTCCAGTAGAGGGGATGCACTTGGCTATAGAAACCTCTCTGAGCTTAATGGGTCAGTAAGTAAAGAGGTAATAGTTGATGGATGGTTATGTGGTTTTTGTGATGGAGGAAGATGGAGGGGAGGGTTTTGGGAACAGGTCAGTATCTCTGTCCTCCTCATTACCAAGTGGATTTTATCCATTTATTTATTTGTTTTGGGGACAGTCTCGCTGTATACCTAGGCTGGAGTGCAGTGGTGCGACCTCAGCTCACTGCAACCTGTGCCTCCTGGGTTCAAGTGATTCTCATGCCTCAGCCTCCCAAGTAGCTGAGATTACAGGCAACTGCCACCACACCCAGCTAATTTTTCTATTTTTAGTAGAGATGAGGTTTTGCCATGTTGGTCACACTGGTCTTGAACTCCTGACCTCAGGTGATCTGCCTACCTCAGCCTCCCAAAGTGCTGGGATTACAGGTGTGAGCCACCTGCCCACCCCAAATGGATTTTAAACTTGGTTTATAGTTTATCTACTAAGCAGTTAAGAAAGGAGTATTCCTTTTGTTGCTTAACAAATCAATTTTGTAGCTTTGCACAGTGGCAGTATCGTGATTATTGCTAATTGAAAATTTTTCCCAATACCCCATGATGACGACTTGAAATATAGTTGGTACTGGCAATTTTTGACAGTCTTTACAGAGACTGAATTAAAAAAAAAACAAAAACAAATCTATTTTGTCCAAAGCACTCTGCCAGATACTGTAAGTGACATCAAATTGTTTAAGACATGGCTCATGCTTTCAAAGGGCTTGTAGTTCGCTGACAGAGAAGGATCAGGACATAAATCACAAGGAGGAGTTAACCAAGGGTAGTGGAATCAGTCAGTTAGGAGTCTCTCAGTGGCATGAAATGGAAAACCCAACTCAGAGGCCAGTCATGGTGGCTAACATCTGTAACCCCAGCACTTTGAGATTGAGAGGCCAAGGCAGGCAGATCACTTGAGGCTAGGAGTTCAAGACCAGCCTGGGCAACATGGCAAAACCCTGTCTCTACCAAAACACACAAAAAATTAGCTTGGTGGGTACCTGTAGTCCCAACTACTCGGGAGGCTGAGGTAGGAGGATTGCTTGAGCCAGGGAGATGGAGGTTGCAGAGGGCCAAGATCACACCACTGCATGCCAGCCTGGGTACCAGAGTGAGACCCCATCCCCCATCTCAAAAAATAATAATAATAATATTAAAGAAAAGAAAACCCAACTCAGACCAGCCAAAGCGAAAAGGAACTTAATTGGCTTCTGGCAGTGCTTGAGTTGGGGCTCCCATCTTGTCCCCAGGTTCCATCAGCCTGAGCTGGGCAGTCATCTTTGTTAGGCTGGTTTCCCTGGTGGTGTAGCAGCAGCATCCTTCACATCCTGTATCCCACAGAGCGGAGAGTGCTCTTTTTTAGAAGTTCCAGCAAATGTTTTATTGCTTTTCGTTGGCTCTGAAAGCCACATGGCCATCTCCGAGCCAATCACGGTGGTCAGGGGGTAGGATGCGTTAATTGTATTAGCCTACATTATATAGTTTACACCTGGTGCTTGGGAATGGCATCAGCTTTACGCAAAGCATGTTGGCCAAGAATGGAGGAAGGACGCTTCCATCAAAGCCAAAAAGGGCACTAGAACCAAAAGAATGGGGAATGCATGCTGGCTGCCCAAGAACCCACCAAATACTTCAGTGTAATGATGATAAAAGGAGATCAGTCTCATTCGTGATCAGCCTGGGCAACATGGTTAAACCCCATCTCGACTAAAATACAAAAAATTAGCCGGGCATGGTGGCATGCACCTGTAATCCCAGCTACTCGGGAGGCTGAGGCAGGAGAATCGCTTGAACCCAGAAGGCGGAGGTTGCAGTGAGCTGAGATCATGCCATTGCACTCAAAGTTCTGGATTGGAACACTGGAGGCTCGGTGTGGTAGCTTCTGCTTGTAATCTCAGGACTTTGGGAGGTGGAGGCAGACTTGAGGCACAGAGCTTGAGACCAGCCTGGGAAACATAGCATGACTGCCATCTCTACAAAATAAAAATTTTTTTAATTGGCCAGATACAGTGGCACGTACCTCTAGTCCTAGATCTTGGGAGATTGAAGCAGGAGGGTTGCTTGAGCCCAGAAGTTTGAGGCTGTAGTGAGCTATGATTATACCATTTGCACTCCAGCTTGGGCAGCAGACCAAGACCCTGTCTCTAAGAAAGAAAACCAGTTTCAGATTGATACACTAAAGACTCAACTGTACTTCTTTTTTTTATTTTTTATTTTTGAGACACAATCTCTCTTGGTCGCTCAGGCTGGAGTGCAGTGGTGTGATCTCAGCTCACTGCAACCTCTGCCTCCCAGGATCAAGCAATTCTCCTGCCTCAGCCTCCCGAGTAGCTGGTACTACAGGCGCCTGCCACCACGCCCAGCTAATTTTTGTATTTTTAGTAGAGACAGGGTTCCTCGGGTGAGTCGCCTGTCTTGGCCTCCCAAAGTGCTAAGATTACAGGTGTGAGCCACCATGCCCGGCCTCAACTATAATTCTTAGATGTGGATATTTTCTATATTTTGAGTCTGGAAGAAAGTAGATTGTAGTACATTAGCGCATTGGCTCTGGAGGCTAATAGACCTGATTTTGAGTCCTGGATCTGTTATAGCTGGGTCATCTCCTACCCTCAATTTCCTTATCAGCACAAGGGAGATAATATTTACTTATAAGGTTTTTATAAAAATTCATCGAAAGAATTCATGTAAAACAGCACTGTGCTCACATGCAGTTAGCTATAGCTGTGTTTGGTTGTTTTTCATAAATTAACGCAGTTGATAGCCTCTGATTTTTGTTAGAGCCAAAGCAGCCATTATTATCATTACTATTACTATTATTATTATTTTTGAGACAGTCTCACTCTGTCACCCAGGCTGGAGTGCAGTGGTGCGATCTTGGTTCACTGCAGCCTCTACCTCCTGGGTTCAAGCAATTTTCCCACCTCAGCCTTCCTAGTACCTGGGATTACAGGCCTGGCTAATTTTTGTATTTTTAGCAGAGGAGGGGTTTCATCATGTTGGCCAGGCTGGTCTCAAACTCCTCACTTCAAGTGATCCACCTGCCTTGTCCTCCCAAAGTGCTGGGAAGCCCATATCCTGAAGACACTATTGGACCACTGGTTTTGGAAAAATTGTTTAAAAATTTAAAAAGAAATCTTATCTGTAAAGGTTGGGACTTGTGATTTAACTTAAGAAAAATCTTGGCAGAGATACAGGTTTACTCCGGAGCAGCAGCAGCTGGCGGAGCAATGGAGATGCAATCCTATTATGCCAAGCTTTTGGGGGAGCTGAATGAACAGAGAAAGAGGGACTTTTTCTGTGACTGCAGCATCATTGTGGAAGGGCGGATCTTCAAGGCCCACAGGAACATTTTGTTTGCTAACAGTGGCTACTTCCGAGCCCTGCTCATTCACTATATCCAGGACAGCGGGCGGCATAGCACTGCTTCCTTGGACATTGTCACCTCTGATGCCTTCTCCATCATCTTAGATTTCCTCTATTCTGGGAAGTTGGATTTGTGTGGGGAGAATGTGATTGAAGTGATGTCAGCTGCCAGCTACCTGCAGATGAATGACGTGGTGAACTTCTGCAAGGCATATATCAGGTCATCCCTCGACATTTGCCGAAAGATGGAGAAGGAGGCTGCTGTGGCTGCAGCGGTGGCAGCGGCGGCGGCGGCTGCAGCGGCGGCGGCAGCAGCGGCAGCTCATCAGGTTGACAGTGGAAGCCCCAGTTCATGCCGAGAGGGGACCTCCTGTGGTACCAAGAGCTTGGTCTCCTCTCCAGCCAAAGGAGAAAAGAGTGTAGACTACCTGAGAGTGTCCCCTTGTGGTGACTGCAGAGACTGCCACCCCTTGGAACTGGTGGTGAAAGACAGCCTCGGCTGTGGCTCCGCTGACAGTGATCTCTCTACTCCACCCAAACAGATAGAGCCCAAGGTGGAATTTGATGCTGATGAAGTGGAGGTGGATGTTGGTGAACAGCTGCAGCAGTATGCTGCCCCACTGAGCCTGGCCCACGTGGAGGAGGCCTTGCCCAGCGGCCAGGCGGTTGACTTGGCTTACAGCAACTATCACATGAAGCAGTTCCTGGAGGCGCTCTTGCGCAACAGCGCTGCCCCAAGCAAAGATGATGCGGACCATCACTTTTCTCGGAGTTTGGAGGGAAGACCAGAAAGTTCAGGAGTAGCCATGAGTTCCATGATGGATGTCCAGACTGACTGGTATGGAGAGGACTCAGGTGAGTCCCCTTAGCATTCATCAGCCCTGCCAGTCATTTAGTATATACTGTCTGTTCCATGTGTTCTCCCATCATCATGATCATTATCACCATCATCATTGTCACTACCAACATCATCAGTACCATCATTACCAGTACCATAATCATCATTACCAGTATCACCAGTACCATCGTCATCAGTACCATCATTTCACTACCATCATCACCACTACCACCATTATCATTACCATCATCAGTACCAGCATCACCAGTACCATCATCATTACCATCATCATTACTACTGTCGTTACCAGTACCATCATTACCATCATCACCAGTACCATCATCACTACCTTCATCACCATCATCATTACCATCCATCATCATTACCATCACCAGTACAATCATCATTACAGTACATCAGTACCACCATCATCATTACCATCACCAGTACAATCACAACCATCATCACCAATACCATCATCATTACCATCATCATCACTGTCATCATCACTATCATCATCAGTACCATCATCATCACTACTGTCATTACCAGTACCATCATCATTACCATCATCACTGCCATCACCAGTACCATCATCATCACTACCTTCATCACCAGTATCACTATCATCATCACTACCATCATCACCACTATCATCATCATCACCATTATAACCATCAGCATCACTACCATCATCACTAGTACCATCATCATCAGTACCATCATCACTACCATCATCAGTACCAACATCATCACTACCATCACCAGTACCATCATCATCATTACCATCATCACTATATCATTACCAGTACCATCATCATTACCATCATCACCAGTACCATCATTACCATCACCAGTACCATCATCATCACTACCATTATCACCAGTACCATCATCATCATTATTACCATCATTAGTCACCATTGCCACCACCTGCACCACCAATATGCATTAATTGAGCACCTGCTGTTTGCAAGGCATTGTTTCTTCATGTATGTTTGTGTTTTACCTCTACAACTAGACTGTAAGCGTGTTGGGGGCATTTTGGAGACATGGGAGGAACCCACTCTCTTCCAGTAACCAGCAGTGGGACCTTGGTTAAATCATCGAATCTCTTTGAGTCTGTTTTGTCATCTCTAAAATGGGGATAATCATCCCTGCCCTACCTCTCTCACAGGTTAGTTGTGGGGATCAAATGAGAGAGTTTTCAGAACCTTTTCTCACATATCGTCTTACATTTCCTCTATTCTGGGAAGTTGTATTTGTGTGGGGAAAATGTGATTGAAGTGATGTTCAGAGATACACACTCTAGAGATTTATACTGCTCTGTGTCAGCCGGAGTGCTTGGCATAGAGTAGGCACTCAGCCTGGTGTGCTTGATGATGCCATCTACTTGAGACTATTTTATTTATTTATGTATTTTTTATTTATTGAGACAGGGTCTTGCTCTGTCACCCAGGCTGAAGTGCTGTGGTGCGATCATGGCTCACTGCAACCTCTGCCTCCCAGGTTCAAGTGATTCTTGTGCCTCGGCCTTCCAAGTAGCTGGGATTGCCATAGGCACATGCCACCATGCCCAGCTAATTTTTGTATTTTCAGTAGAGACAGGCTTTCTCCATGTTGGCCAGGCTAGTCTCGGCTTCCTGACCTCAAGTGATCCACCTGCCTTGGCCTCCTAAAGTGCTGGGATTACAGGCGTGAGCCACTGCACCTGGACAACTTGAGACTATTTAGAGCCAGTGTTTGGCTTTATGTGAGCTAATTTTTTATACCCTTTGGTAGGCTTTTGCATTTTAAGAGAACCTGGTTGTTTCCTTGAACAATTCTGAGAGTCGAGTTAACATGGTTAACTCCTCTCAACAGGTGAGCTAATTGTGTTGCAAGGTGTCTTGTAGGAGACAAAAATAAACTTGACTCCCACCTTACTGATGAAACCTGGCTTCCAGAACCTCAAGCCAAGGCCAGACGCAGTGGCATGGGCCTGTAATCCCAGTTACTCAGGAGACTGAGGCAGGAGAATATCTTGAACCTAGGAGGTAGTGGTTGCAGTGAGCCAAGATCGTGCTACCTCACTCCAGCCTGGGTGACAGAGCAAGACTCCCTCTCAAAGCAAAAAACAAAAGAAAAACCAACAAAAAATAGAATCTCAAGCCAAGAAATTAATGAATTGCTGTCTAGCAGTGAAATATTGAGTAGTGAAAGTCTTTTCCCTTTTTTTTTTTAGCTTCTGATTCTCTGGTTGAAGTGAAAGTTTTTTGAATAAAGGGAGATCAGCTATTTTTATTCATTACTGAATGGCAGTCTTATGAATTTTTTTTTTTGAGACAGGGTCTCCTTCTGTTGCCCAGACTAGAGTGCAGTGCACAATCACAACTCACCGCAGCCTCGACCTCCCGAGCTCAGGTGATCCTCCCACTTAAGCATCCCAAGTAGCTGGGACTACAGGCCTGGACCACCACACCCAATTAATTTTTGTATGTTTGATTTATAGTAGAGATGAGATCTTCCTGTGTTGTTCAGGTTGGTCTCAAACTCCTGGGCTCAAGAGAGCCTCTCACCTCAGCCTCTCAAAGTGCTGGGATTACAGGTGTGAGCCACTGTGCTTGGCTTGTCTTGAAACTTTCTAATTTCTTTTTTTTTTTTTTGAGACAGGGTCTCACTCTGTTGCCTAGGCTGGAGTGAAATGGTGCAATCTCGGCTCACTACAACCTCTGCCACCTGGGTTCAAGTGAGTCTCCTGTCTTAGCCTCCCGAGTAGCTGGGATTATAGGCATGAGCCACCATGCCTGGCCTCAAATTTCATTTTTTAAAAGCAAGAGCACTCAGTATGTCTCATTAAAACTAAACTTGAAAAACTTGAAAATGGCCAGGTGCAGTGGCTCACACCTATAATTCTAGCACTTTGAGAGGCCAAGGTAGGAGGATCACTTGAGCCCAGGAGTTTGAGACCAGCCTAGGCAACATGGCAAAACCCCATCTCTACAAAAAAAAATTTAAAAATTAGCCAGGCATCGTGGCATGCGCCCATAGTCCTAGCTACTTGGGAGGCTGAGGTGGGAGGATCACCTGAGCCTGAGAGGTCGAAGCTGCTGTGAGCTGTGATCATACCACTGCACTCCAGCCTGGATGACAAAATTGAGACTTTGTCTTAAAGAAAAAAGAAGAAAGAAAAAAGAAACACTTGAAAAATGCTGTTTCTAGTTCTTAGAAACACTGGCTTCACCAGCATTGGGAAGATAGTGGCTGCTTCCATGAACACACCCTGAGAACTTGTTTAAATTCTCATTGTCATGTGTATAATGGCATTTCACAAACTGTGACCCTTTCACATCCATGAGACTCTCATGATGCCCCATGTGTTTGACAGAGGAAATACAGAGAAACTGAGACCCAGAGGGGTGTGAGTTTCGTAAGAATGCAGTAGTAAGTTAAGTGGCCCAGCTAAAACCAGAAACCTGGGGTGGCTTCATTTCGTTCATTAAACAAACGGTGAAAGCAACATAATAGAGGATTTCAGTGCAATGATTTTTTCTTTGAACTCCTCTGCATGTTAACACAAGAAGTATCATGAAATAGGCATTTGACTCTGTGCCACTTACATTCAAGTCCTGTCCTTATCGTTCTAGAAAGTCAGGCTTCTTGCTACACGGTGCTGTGGCAAGGCAGCCGCCCTGGCCCCGGGCAATGCCTGTTGTCTACTGTGTTTTTATTTCATTCATATGGCTCCAGGGTACAGTTTTTCCAAGTGCAAAGGCACAGACTAGAATTGATTTGTTTGGTTATTCCTTTATTTGCTCAAATATTGGATCACTTTTTGTGTGAAGTCATAAAGATAAGTCAGACATGGATGCTGCCCTCAAAAGCTGATGGTGTGTTACAGGAGATAAGACACAAACGTTGGCTGGACATGGTCGCTCACAGCACTTTTGGAGGCAGAGGCAGGTGGATCGCTTGAGGTCAGGAATTCGAGACCAGCCTGGCCAACAAGATAAAACCCCATCTCTAATAAAAATACAAAAATAAAAAAATTAGCTGGGTGTGGTGGTGCATGCCTGTGATCCCAGCTACTCTTGAGGCTGAGGCAGGAGAATTGCTTCAACCCAGGAGGCGGAGGTTGCAGTGAACTGAGATTGCTCCACTGTACTTCAGCCTGGGCAACAGAGCGAGGTTCCATCTCTTAAAGAAAAAAAAAAAAGACACAGATATAAATGATGTCACATGCTAGAAAGGTACTAGGCTTGAAAAACACTCAGAGTATGAATTCACAGTAGTCCAGAAGGAGAACTGGCTTCTTACTGGGAGATCAGGGAGGCATCCTGAAAGTGCCATCTGAAGGTAAGAAGAGAGGACAGGGAAAAATTAACTGGAGTCAGATCATGGAAAACCTTAAATGCAAAGAGGGTGGGGTGTTTTATCTGTAGGCACAGGGGAGGTTTTTGGTTTTTGGTTTTGTTGTTTTTTTTTTTGAGACAGAGTCTCACTCTGTTGCCCAGGCTGGAGTACAGTGGTGCCATCTTGAGTCACTGCAACCTCCGCCTCCCAGGTTCAAGTGATTCTCCTGCCTCAGCCTCCCAAGTAGCTAGGATTACAGGCGTGCATTACCATGTCCAACTAATTTTTATATTTTTAGTAGAGACAGGGTTTCACTATGTTGGTCAGGCTGGTCTCAAACTGCTGGCCTCAAGTGATCCACCCGCCTTGGCCTCCCAAAGTGCTGGGATTACAGGTGTGAGCCATCGTGCCTGGCCAGGTTTTGTTTTGTTTTGAGACAGGGTCTCATGCTGTCACCCAGGCTGGAGTGCAGTGGCGCAATCACAGCTCATTGTAGCCTCAACCTCCTGGGTTCAAGTGGTCCTCCTGCCTTAGCCTCTCAAAGTGTTGGGATTATAGGTATGAGCCACCACGCCTGGCCACAGGGGAGTTTTGGGTAGTTTCTTTTGCTTTTTAATTTTTATTCCTACCTGGATGCTCTGCACAAGCCTTAATCCCAGTAAAATCCAAACGGAACTCCTGTTTCCTCATGTACCTGCTTTTCCTCCTGTTAATTTCACTCCTCCTCAGTGTGTCTTCTCCTCCCCACCTCTGCAACCACTGCTTTAGCTCATGTCGTCTCTCATCCAGACTCATGGTCTCCTCCCACCTGGACTTCCTGCATTTAATATTGCCTCTCTCAAGTCTTTTTCCTGAATTGTGCCTAGAGGGATCATTTAAAAGTTAAATCTGACTATGAAAATTTGACCACGTACCTTCCTTGCTTAAAATCCTAGCTGGTCAGGAGCGGTGGCTCAGGCCTATATTCCCAGCTATTCAGGAGGCTGAATGAGGCAGGAGAATCACTTGAACCCAGGAAGTAGACATTTCAGTGAGCCGAGATCACGCCACTGCACTCCAGCCTGGGCAACAGAACGAGACTCTGTCTCAAAAAAAAAAAAAAAAAATCCTAGAGGCTTACAGGTAAAGTCCAAATTTCTTAGCATGTTCGCTCCATGAGGGGCAGGGACTTTTGTCTATTCTGTTCACTGTTGTTTCCCCAGGACCCTAGAACAGAGCCTGACACATAGTGCACAGTATAAATTTGCTGAATAAATGAATGTATGTGACTATCGCAATCTAGTTCTTTTTTTTTTTTCGAGATGGAGTCTTGCTCTGTTCCCCAGGCTGGAGTGCAGTGGCACGATCTCTGCTCTCTGCAGCCTCCACCTCCTGGTTCCTTGTTCAAGCAATTCTCCTGCCTCAGTCTCCCGAGTAGCTGGGATTACAAGCACACACCACTATGCCCGGCTAATTTTTGTATTTTTAGTAGAGATGGGGTTTCACCATGATGGCCAGGCTGGTCTTGATCTCCTGACCTTGTGATCCACCTGCCTCTGCCTCCCAAAGTGCTGGGATTACAGGTAAGAGCCACTGTGCCCAGTCTCACAATCTAGTTCTTGTCCCTTCCTTGTTCTCATTCCTAACCCCCACTTTGTACTTCGTATTCTCATTTACCTCTAAGCATATGTTGTTGTTCTGCCCGAGATACCTTTCTCTGTCTTGAACTCCCAGTAAACTCCTGTTCATCTTTTAAAACCTTGCTCAAAGTTAACCTCTTCTGTGAAATCTTCTCTTAACTCCTAGGGAAAGTCATCACTTTTTAATTTATATTTCTTCATCACTTTGAACTTTGCAGGTGTGCATCATATTGTATGAATATGTTTACATGTCTTTCCTGCTAAACTTCTTGAGGTAGTAAACAGGTGTCTTACAATGCCTGGCATGTAAGAGGATTCAGGTGAACTATTATGTCGGGGAAGTGAGATCAGGAAAGAGGAAGAAAGTGAGACAATCCATACTTTTCTGTTGGAGAAATAGTGAATGGTTATTTTTTCCAAGGACTTACACCAGACCCATTTACTTTATGCTTTTGTAGGTAATCAGGAAGAAGTGTGTGGCACAAAGCCAAGGTGATGGAGGTAAATAACAAGGAGTTTCTACAATGCCAGAGGAGTGAGCAGGGTGATGAGCTATGAGCTGCTGCTTTGATCCTAGGAAACAGGTTGTCTTCATGGCCGGGCGCTGTGGCTCACACCTGAGATCCCAACACTTTGGGAGGCCAAGACTGGTGGATCACCTGGGGTCAAGAGTTCGAGACCAGCCTGACCAACATCATGAAGCTCCTGTCTCTACTAAAAAGATAAAAGTAGCTGGGCATGGTGGTACGTGCCTGTAATCCCAGCTACTTGGGAGGCTGAGACAGGAGATTCACTTGAACCTGGGAGGTAGAGGTTGCAGTGAGCTGAGATTATGCCATTGCACTCCAGCCTGTGCAACAAAAGTGAAACTCCATCTCAAAAACAAAAAATCAGCTGCATGTGGTGGCACAAGCCTATAGTCCCAGCTACTCGGGGAGCTGAGGTGGGAGGATCGCCTGAACCTGGGAGGTAGAGGCTGCAATGAGCCATGATCATGCCACTGCACTCCTGCCCAGCTAACAGAGGGAGAACCTGTGTCAAAACAAGCCTGACCAACATGGTGAAACCCTGTCTCTACTAAAAATACAAAAATTAGCCGGGTGTGGTGGTGTGCACCTGTAATCCCAGCTTCTCCGAAGGCCGAGGCAGGAGAATCACTTGAACCCAGGAGGCGGAGGTTGCAGTGAGCTGAGATCATGCCACTGCACTCCAACTTGGGTGACAGAATAAGACTCCATCTCAGGAAAACAAAACAAAACATATAATCATTCCTATTTTACTTGTACCTCAGGATCAGTGTGAGCAGTGAGAGATTTAACAATCCCACGTATATGAGCAGTGATGAGCTTTGAGCTGCTGTTTCTATCCTGGGAAACAGATTTTGGAGTCACTGTAGATTATGCAAAATGTTAGGGATTATTAGGATAGGAACTAGAAACCAAAGAGAGTTTCCACCCTTATGTAAAGGATGTTGGATTCTCACATTCAATTCGGTGTGCCATACTTTTCATAGCACCTCAGGAAAAACAGAGCCAGTTAGGTTTCCCAAGCCAGCCCCAGATAAAAAGAGTTAGTTATTCCAGTGTTGACAGAGATGACAAGAGCCTGGACTGCTTACCTGGTAAAAAGAAATTCCGGGGAAACGACAATACAAATGTTGACATTTGCAAGTGTTTACTATGTGCCACGTGCTATGCTTTATGTGTTACTTTATGTCATTCTTACCACAATCTTACCAAGTGGGAACTGTTATCATAGCTGTTTGACAGATGAGGAAAGTATGGCACAGAGAAGCTGAGTGAGATGTCCAGGGTCACATGGCTGGTCAGTGCTAGAGCCAGGACCTGGAAAGCTTGAGTCATTAGTGCCTTCATGGGTGATACAATATGATATAACCAGTCTGTAAATCTTGCAGAGCATGGAGAGAATAAATCTCAGGCTGGGCATGGTGGCTCACGCCTATAATCCCAGCACTTTGGGAGGCTGAGGTGGGCGGATCACCTGAGGTCAGGAGTTTGAGACCAGCCTGGCCACCATGGTGAAACCCCACCTCTATTAAAAATACAAAAATTAGCTGAGTGTGGTGGCGGGTGCCTGCAATCCCAGCTACTCCGGAGGCTGAGGCAGGAGAATCACTTGAATCTGGGAGGTGGAGGTTGCAGTAAGCCGAGATCTTGTTACTACATTCTAGCCTGGGCGACAGAGTGAGACTCCGTCTCAATAAATAAAATAAAGAACAAATCTTGGAATATAGTTGGCCCTCTGTGTCCATAGCTTCTGCATTTGTGAATTCAACTAACCATGCATGGAAAATACAGGATCCACAGGACTGACTTTGGGACTTAAGCATTCTTGGATTTTGGTATCCAAGGAGCATACTGGAACCAATTCCCAGTTGATACCAAGGGATGACCATAGCAATAAGTGTAACTCACAGAACTTGAGGGGAACAATTTCTATACATGTTAGCGATAATCATATTGTCACCTTAATGGTTATATGAGCAAGGTGAGGGAACAAATTAGAGAAAGATTTAAGTGAATTCCTGGATATTTGATGATTTCAGATATATAGAGATAATATAATTAACAACAATTTAGGGTCTGCATCATAGCGAGCCTTTTCTATGTAGGCTTGGAAAATAATCTTAGGAACTACTGTCCAAGAAAGCATGAATTCTGGTCTAGAAATCTGATCCATCATAACTGAGTTTTCCAAGTTATGAAGATAGTGAGATCAATTCAGAGGGTTGTATTAGTCAGCTCAGGCTGCCACAGCAGAGTGCCCCAGACTGGGAAGCTTAAACAACAGAAATGTATCCTCATATTTCTAGAGGCCAAGGTCTGAGATCAAGGTGTCAGCAGAGTTGGCTTTTGGTGAGGCCTCTCTTCCTGAATTGCAGATGGCAGCCTTCCCACTGTGTCCTCACATAGGCTTTCCTCTGTGTGTGTGCTAGGGGTGGGGATGAGAGGAATGGCGGGGGGAATGCAGAGAGGGGACAGATAATCAGTTAATCTCTGGTGTCTGGTGTCTCTTCTTATAAGGAAACCAGTCCTATCATTAGTTGATCATTATAAACTCATTTAACCTTAATTACCTTCTTAAGGGTTTTATCTCCAAACACAGACTTCAAGGTATGAATTTTAGGGGGACACAAATCAGTCCATAACGGAGTTTCACCCAGCAGTCTTAAAATGAAACCGAATAGAATAAACACTATCAGGGTGAGTATTGTTTTGAGAAGCTTCCAGTTATCCTCATAAGGCACGTGTGTTCTGAGGTTGTCATGTAAGCTGAATTTTTAACTGTGAATCACAGAGAAGTGTGGAAGCTGGTGCCTTATGGCATTCCTGACCTTAGAAGAAGTTCACTGTACTCTGCCCTGGGGCCTAATGGGAGCCAGACTGGAATTGCAGTCTGCTGCAACATCTTGCTGCTGGCTGTTGGCGGAGTTGGTGTCCTCCTCCATCTGGGCTGGTGGAATTCCCCAGCTGTGGATCCCATCCATTGGCAGGTAGCCAGGGTTGTCACTGCATACAGCACAGCTAAATGAAAGCATTTGGTTCCCCAGGTGATGTGCTGGTGGTCCCCATCAAGCTCCACAAGTGTCCTTTCTGCCCTTACACTGCCAAACAGAAGGGCATCCTCAAGCGGCACATCCGTTCACACACGGGCGAGCGGCCCTACCCCTGTGAGACCTGCGGCAAGAGGTTCACACGACAGGAGCACCTGCGGAGCCACGCCTTGAGTGTAAGTTCGATCTGGCCATGCCCTCCTGGCAAGAGCGATTCATGATATCATCTAATGTCAGGGTAAAGCCAGTTGTTTTTCATTTCTCTGTCTACTGGAGTATTTTCAGATAATTTTGAAAATATGTTTCTGCTACTAAATTAAAGCTCAGGTGGTGGCACTTACAGAAAGTTAAAACTTTATGTGCTAGAGTTAAGTTTTACATTCAAGTTAAAACAGACAGTTTTCTTTTTTTTTTTGAGACGGGGTTTTACTATGTTAGCCAGGCTGGTCTCGAACTCCTGACCTCAAGTGATCCACCAGCCTCAGCCTCCCAAAGTGCTGGAATTACAGGCGTGAGCCACCTTGCCCAGCCATTTTTTTTTTTTTAAAAACAGATGGTTTTCTAAGGGGAAGAGCCAAGAAAGTTTAGATCCTGATAAGAGGTGATTATTGTAATGTAGAGAACAACAGGGCTCAGACAGGATTGTGGATCTCTTCCCACCAGTGTGATACCAAAGGTAAGCTGCATCCTCAGTTTCCCACTCAACCCCAGCACTGGGGGTGGGGGAAGGGTGTACAGCCATGTATAGAGCCACCTGTGGCAGCAGACAAAGAGGGCTCCTGCCCAAGGAGACCCTCCCCATTATTGAGCTGCCCCCTAGGATTGTCTCCATGTGAGCTGGCGATTCCAACCAGCTGAAAAGCATTCAGGCCACTTAGAAAGATGTTGTATTTATTTATTTATCTATTTAAACTTTTAGGTTCAGGGGTACATGAGAAGGTTTGTTATATAGGTAAACTGATGTCACAGGGGTTTCTTGTACAGATTGTTTCATCACCCAGGAATTAGTTCTCTTTTCTGCTCCTCTCCTGCCTCCCAGCCTCCACCGTCCAGTAGATCCAGTGTCTCTTTCCTTCTTTGTATTCCTAAGTCCTCATCGTTTAGCTCCCACTTATAAATGAGAACATGTTGTATTTGGTTTTCTGTTCCTATGTTAGTTTGCTGAGGATAGTAGCCTCCAGCTCTGTCTATGTTCCGACAAAACACATGATCTGTTTCCTTTTATGGCTGCAGATGTAGCATTTTATGATCTTATTTGTTTGTTTGTTTGAGACAGAGTCTCAGTTTGTCACCCAGGCTGGAGAGATCACAGCTCACTGAAGCCTTGACCTTCCAAGACACAGGTGATCCTCCCACCTTAGCCCCCACCCAAGTAGCTGGGACTACAGGCACACACCACCACACTCAGCTAATGTTTGAATTTTTTTTGTAGAGACAGGGTTTTGCCAGGTTGCCCAGGCTGTCTTAAACTCCTGGGCTCAAGCAATCTGCCTGCTTCAGCCTCCCAAAGTGCTGGGATTATAGGAATGAGCCACCATGTACAGCTATGATCATCTTTGAGCAAGACAATCAATGTTTGGGAAATCTAAGTGAAGTTCAAACACAAATAGTTTGAACTTCAGTGGACACTCTTAAGAATATGAAAACCCTCAGAATGGGAGAAAATATTTGCAAGGCATATATCTGCTAAGATTCTAGTATCCAGAATAAATGAAGAATTTTATAGTGCAACAGTAAAATGATGAATAACCCAATTAAACCTGGGCAAAGGATTTGAATAGGTTTCTTGGGAAAACATAGTCAAATGGCCAATAAGCACATGAAAAGATGCTCAACATCATTAGTCATAGAGTAAATGCAAATCAAAGCCACCAGGAGATGCCGCTTTCCACCTACTAGGACTATTCTAATTGTGGACTGGTGCTCTTGCATCAGCCTCTCCCCGTCTCTGCCTCTTGTGTGTATCTTGCATCCAGAGCTCTCTAAAAGGAAGGCTGTGATTGGTTCACAGAGCCCCTATTGGTGGGAGTTCCTGAAAAGTGTACACATTAAAAGATAGTTCCTAGACCCAGTGTGGTGGCTCACACCTGTAATCCCAGCACTCTGGGAGGCTGAGGGGGAGGCAGATCATTTGAGATCAGGAGTTTGAGACCAGCCTTGCCAATGTGGCGAAACCCCTGTCTACTAAAAATACAAAAAAAATTACCCAGGCATGGTGGCACCTGCCTGTAGTCCCAGCTCCTCAGGAGGGAGGCAGGAAAATTGCTTGAACCCGGGAGACGGAGGTTGCAGTGAGCTGAGATAGGGCCACTGCACTCCAGCCTGGGTGACAGAGCAAGACTCTGTCTCAAAAATCAAAAACAAGAACAAAAAAATACCACTCAATTAAAAAAAAAAAAAAGATAGTTCCTTATACAGAGGGGACCCCTGGGACTGCTGCCTTTAGAAAGAGCTGTGTGGGGTAGGAAATCAGGTCCCCTTTTCTAGTATGCAAAGCTCTTCTCATATGTAAGTGATACATTTACCAATGAGAAAGTCAAGAGCAAAGCAGCTGCTGGCACATCTGGGGAATATAGCTATCTACTCTAACAAATCTGCCTTCCTAATAATTAAACAATCCAAAGTACATAAAAAACTACGTTAATTACCAAAAGTGTCCAATGAGAGGGGGAAAAATGTCAAGAATCCTAATGAGAGCCAAACACAGTGGTGCACACCTATATTCCCAGCTACCTGGGAGACTGAGGCAGGATGACCACTTGAGCCCAAAAGTTCAAGTCCAGCCTGGGCAACATAGCAAGACAGCAAGACCCCGTATCTAAAAAGGGAAAAAAAAATCCTGGCCTGTTATGCAGGTATGCTGGCTCATGCTTGAAATCTCAACACCTTAGGAGGCCAAGGTGGAACCCCTTTAGACCAGGAGTTCGAGACCAGCCTGGGAAACATAGTGATACTCCACCTCTACAAGAAATAAAAAATTAGCCAGGCATGGTGGTGCATGGGTGCCTGTGGTCCCAGCTTCTTGAGAGGCTGGGACAGAAGGATCACTTGAGCCCATTAGTGAGCTATGATCATGTCACTGCACTCTAGCCTGGTTAACAGAGCAAGACCCTGTCTCTGAAAAAGAAAAAAAAGTCCTAATCAGTTTACTTTCTCTTGAGTGCCCTTTGTATGCCAAGCACTATGGATACAGTAAGGAATGAGACGGACTCTGTCCCTGCCTTCTTGGAGCTTACACTCTAGTGAATTTTATCAACAATTTGTGAGAAGTACAACAAAGGAAGAAGTATGGGTGAGAATCGCTAGCTGGTGGCCCTAACTGTCCTAGAGCATTAGAAAAGACCTCCTTCCAAAGTGTTCATTAGGTGTGACAGGTTGATGATGGGGAGAAGGGAATGTTCCACATGTGTCTAAAGGCTCTGGGGTGGAAAGAACCTTGGTAAGATGAAGGCTCATGTGTTTGGATCTCTGTCCAAACTTCATGTTGAAATGTAATCCCCAATGCTGGAATTGGGGCCTTGTGGGATTGGATCATGGGGACAGTTTCTTATGGTTTAATGCCATCCCTCCTTGGTGCTGTCATCATGATAGTGAGTTCTCGTGCAAGCTGGTTGTTTGAAAAAATGTGGTGCCTCCCCCTTCTCTCTCCCCACTGCTCTGGCCATGTGAAGTGCTGGCTCCTCCTTTGCCTTCTGCCATGATTGTAAGTTTCCTGAGGATTCCCTAAAAGCCGAGCAGATGCCAGCATCATGCTTCCTGTACAGCCTGTGGAACTGTCAGCCAATTAAACCTCTTTTCTTCATAAATTACCCAGTCTCAGGTATTTCTTTGTAGCAGTGCAAGAACAGACTAACACAAAGACTGTGGCAGAGAATGCAGGTGGAGTGGGGAGAAAGGAGTCTGGAGGGTCAGGCAGGGGCCAGATTACATGGGTCCTTGTGGAAAAGGCTCATCTCCTTTTTTGTGACATTTATTGTGTCTGCTTGTGATTACAGGTCCACAGATCGAACCGTCCAATCATCTGCAAGGGCTGCAGAAGAACATTCACAAGTCATCTGTCCCAGGGGCTGCGGCGCTTTGGGCTGTGTGACAGCTGCACCTGCGTTACAGACACACCTGACGATGATGATGATTTGATGCCCATCAATCTTAGCTTGGTGGAAGCTTCATCCGAAAGCCAAGAAAAGAGTGATACAGACAATGACTGGCCAATCTATGTGGAGTCGGGTGAGGAAAATGACCCCACTGGAGATGATTCTGATGACAAACCACAAATTCGTCCCAACTTATCAGACTGAGAGACACTTATGTAGCAATAAATTGGTGGGGAGAAGTTTTAGAACTTGTTAGTGCTCACTCTGTTGCTGAAAGACACCGTTTGTCCAATTTTGTGGAACCCTGAGAGGAACATTTTTTCACTGTTAATGATATGTGCATTTTTATTGGACTATCTGATATAGGTTGGATTTTGTGACTCAAAGGACAGATAACTTTTTTGTGTGGGGCCCTTGGTTTCTGAGGGCTTTGCTGGCCACTCCTTAATTCTGGGTGAATCAAGGCAGGCCCTGAGGTCTTTTGTTTTTCTTGCTGTGCATCCAAACTCTGGTTAGGAGAAAGATAAGAAAATTTCCACATTTGTTTTTATATTGACTCAGTCCTCTGCATTCCTTTGTTATCCTCTTTCTCTGAAAACCATTAAGTTTGGGGATCAGTTTTACCTTTGCCAGGCCTTTCCTAATGAATTCCACATTAAATTTCCTGGCAGAGTATTAAAGAGAAACCTTCATTGATATAAAGCAGGCAGGGAGGTCTGGCTACATGATCATAAAAGGTGCTCTCTAAATCTAGGGTGACGGTTTTAAAGGCTTGCAGCATTTATGGGTAGACAAAGGTGGAGTGATCCGAAAGACTCATTATGGCATCCTGACTTGCCCAGTTGAATTACATTTTCAGTTAGCCCTGAAAGGGAGCCCAGGTCTGGATGGTTTCGCTCTCTGGTTTGGTATTTGACGATTCTATACATACAACCTGTTCTGTTATCATAAAACAAGTCATTTGGGCAAAACTCAAAATGTTCCCCTACTTTTTCCAGCATTTTCTAAAAGTTAGAGCTGCGTGACTTGGAAATGTAGCCATCCGTGACATTCTTTTACTTAGTTTATGCTGATGCAGGGCAAGTGAACCCAAAAATTGGGGCTTAGCCCTGGGGAGTTCTTGGCTTCACCCAGGAAAGAATTCAAGGGCGAGCCGGTGGTGTTAGACAGCAACTTGTATTGAAGCAGTAGTGCACAGCAGCAGAGGGGCCGCTCCTCGTAGAGCAGGGCTACCCCACAGGCAGTGTGCCCAGAGTGGCAGCTTGGAGGCCAGTTGGCACTCATATTTATACCCACTTTTAGTTAAATACAAATTAAGGGGCAGATTATGCAGCAATATTTAGGAAAGTGGTGGTAACTTATAAGTTGCGGAGTGGTTGCCATGTTAAGGGGCAGTGACTTCCAGGTGTTGCCATGGCAATGGTAATTAACATGGTACAGTGATGAGCATTTCTTATGAAAAGCTGCTTCCTGCACCCCCCCTCCCCACCACTGCCCTGTTTTAGCTAGTCCTCAATTTGGTCCACGTCTGAGTCCAGTCTTTGGAGTTGAGTCCTGCCTTCTACCGGATTGCCTAGAATTTTAATTGGAGGGAAAGTATAAGCCCATATCACCAAGTTACATTTCTAAAACGTTCATCTTTTAAAAGATCCTCTTGAGGGAAAGGGAAGGTTAGTAGTCTACTTTTAAAAGCAGTCTACTTTTCACCCACTTTGCAGCCACACAATTATTGTAACAAGAGGCTGAACTCTAAAGGGCTAAAGGGCAGGCAGTATTAGGAATTAGGAATACATTGACTTTGTTTAACATTGAGTAAGTCATTGTAAGATGATAAGTAACAGTGCAATCCAACATCTATAATAAAGTATATATATCATTAAAAAAAAGGAATTAGGAATGTAATTGAAGGCACTTCCCATAGTTTTGTTGTATGTTAAAATATCCAAAATGGATTTTAAAAGAAATCTTTTCTTCCTTTAAGTGTAGTTGTGTTTCAAAAGGTGGTAAAGTCACTTTTCTTTCTGCCTCTTGAACAACAAAAAAGTCAAAGACGTGGTCAATTGGCTTGTAAATGTTAGCCAAAGCATTAGAAAAGTGTTTAAGAGGTACTTCTCAATAGTAGTTAAAACTGCAACGGTGCAACTCAAACTGTGGCCCACGGATAGGCACTGTTCTGTGAATTGTTTTCTACCAGTCTGCTACAAGAAAAGTCAGAAATTAAGACTATGCCCATAGAAACATTGATAACACTTTGACATTGCTGTGACTCATGGTTTTGTCTTCTCGAGTGGGGTATAGACCAGCTCAGGTCTGCTTAGCTAGAGACCCACATGGTGCAGAGGTTGGATACCAGCCTGTATAGTAGGACCACATATTGGTTTGCAGTATATTGGAAAATTTAAAACTTCTTTTAACACAGGTAGTTTGATCAATATCATTCTTGGCTGGGTGCAGTGGCTCGCACCTGTAATCCCAGCACTTTGGGAAACTGAGGCAGGTGGGACACTTGAGGTCAGGAGTTTGAGACCAGCCTGGCTAACATGGCGAAACCCCATCTCTGCTAAAAATACAAAAGTTAGCCAGGAGTGGTGGCACGTGCCTGTAATCCCAGCTACGAGCATCACTTGAGCCCAGGAGGCAGAGGTTGCAGTGAACTGAGATTGTGCCCTGCACTCCAGCCTGGGCAACAGAGTGAGACCCTGTCTCAAAAAATAAAGAAAGAAAAAAGAAAAATATCATTCTAGATCAAGAGTCACACATGGAAAATTATCAGGGACCAGAGATGCTTATCCGAAATAAAAACATTAACTGTTATTTTAAAAGAGGGACCTCAGCAAAAAGGAAACCTAAATGGATGTGTAGAAGATTTACTTGGCCAGGAACAGTGTTTGATATTTTTGCTTTCTCTGTTTAAATTATCTCTGATGTTTTGATGACTTTTCTACCTCATAATTCAGCTTTTCTGCCTGCTTTCTCCAGTGGAGCTATGGTCTTCAGTGATTCCGTGACCTATTCTTATCACTGGGTAAAACGTTTTATAGTAGAGATTTCACGGTAGGACAGTGATTCTCAGTTGGGGGTGATTTTAGTGCCTTGCAGGTTGCTACTGGCGTCTAGTGTGTAGAGGCCAGAGAAGCTGCCAAATATCCTAAATCGCACAGGACAGTCCTCACAACGAAGAATTCTCTAATTCAAAATGTCAGTAGTAACAAGGTTGAGAAACTCTGCTGTGAGATAAAGTAGGATTTTTTAAAGGGATCTGTCATGAATGGACTTAATTTTGTGTTCTATATTAAGCTACCTTTTACCTTCATATTTATTTATTTTTAATTTTATGTATTTATTATTTATTTTGAGATGGAGTTTCACTCTTGTCACCCAGGCTGGAGTCCAATGGTGTGATCTTGGCTCGCTGCAACTTCTACCTCCCAGATTCAAGTGATTCTTCTGCCTCAGCCTCCCAAGTAGCTGGGATTTCAGGCACCTGCCACCAAACCTGGCTAATTTTTGTATTTTTAGTAGAGACAAGGTTTCACCATGTTGACCAGGCTGGTCTTGAACTCCTGACCTCAAGTTATCTGCCTGCCTCAGCCTCCCAAAGTGCTGAGATTATAGGCATGAGCCACCATGTCTGGCTGACCTTCATAATATTTAATAGGCCCTTATGCTCTCACAAGTTTTAGAAAACAGTGGATTAGCAAAATGAGGAGCTGAGGCCAGATGGTTCATAGCTTGCCCAAGATCTGATTTAGGTTTATAATGTGTAAACTTAGAAAATTCTGATTCATTTATACATCCAGAACCATTACTAGGTTCTGATCATTTTGTTAATTTTTTGTTGTTGTTGTTAATTTTCAAAGAGGTAGAATCACTGGGAGGAAAACTTGATATTTAAATGATTCTCTTTCTTCCATAATATCTCCGATTCTTGCATTCCTGGTAGACTGTTCAGGGTTTGTGTATAGGCACTGGTAATAACTGGATCCCTGAATTCTGTCACTTTTAAAGGAGATACTTCCTTTGTCTAGACTATCAGATCATAAATTGGTCCTCTTTTAAATTTATGTTCCCATTAGGTGGTCAGTATTTATAATCACAGTGTCTTTGAGGTTTAATTTGTGGGGTTGGTGATATTTTTATACTAAGTAAATTTACAGTTGAGCCCAACACAGACCGTTAGTGGTTTAGTTTCTATTCTGGCACATTCCACCCAAGTTCACAAAGGGATATTTTTGTCTCATATTAGATATATTACACAGATGGGAACAGGACTCTTACTTGTAATGGAATTCCAAAATGACATTCTTAAGAAGTTATTTCCCTTGGGGGTTGAGGACCCCCTTCTCAAAAGTTGAGAAGGCATGTAAATAGGGCTTTACCTATAATAATTAAGAAATGACATAGTGCATCATGATTCTGATCATTTGGCAGAAAGATGCCATTCTGATGTAAATATTTTGGTGGCCACCAGACTTTGAATGTTCCTTAAGGAAGCTGCTGGCCTAGTGGTCTGCAAAATGTAATGGAATTAAGTATTTTGGTGGTTTGGAATACTGAGATGGGTTTTTTGTTACTGTTAATTGATGTCGTAACAAACCCCAGGGAGAGAAAGATTCTGGGATCTGTAGGGAAGAGTGGAGTGGTCTTTGGTCAACTGAACTCAGACTGTTTTATTTGGAGCTCTGGGTTTTTCTTGTGTGTGACCCTTGTGCATTAAGAGAATGATCTCTGTGAAGTCTAGTGTAACGGGATAGGGAGGGGCAAAGGATTGGGAGGATTGGGGTGGGTGAGAAGTTCCTATGTGCTCTGTTTTGAGCATTCCCACTGTGCTTCCCATTATTGCTGGTCTCTGGTAGCTTGCCTTGTGTTTTGATGTGATCACACTATCTTCTAACCTGACACGGGGGCACTTTATTCAGGTGCATATCACAGGCACTGTTTTCATTGATTTTTGTTGCTTTTGTAGTTCTCTTTTTCCTCTAAACAGTACTGTGTTCCACAAACCTTTCATTGCAGTGCTGGAAATTTGAATTCTTTTCTTAAATGACGCTTCTGTAGAGAAAAATGTAAAGTGTTTTGGAGTTAGTCGTAGTTTGGTTGGTTCCTAGATAGGTCAGCTTTAAAGGGTGACAGTAACTCACGTGATTGCATGATCAGATGAGATGGAAACTTCATAACTGAAGGGGAACATTTAGCATCGTCTTGACCCTCCAGGTAGATTATTTCGCTTCTGCCAATTCTTCATTGACAATTGTGGTTTTGGGGGGCAATTTTTATATCCGTCATTTGATTTCTGGACCTTTGTCAGTTAATCAGTGGAGGTTAGGGCAGGGATTATGTGCTTTGATGGGGAAGGTTTAGTAGTTACAAGCTTGGGGATTTTGAGGGAAAGCATTAATTTCATGTACAGGTCTTGGTGACATGTAGTAGATATGGATTATCTGTCATGCAGACAGTGAAGAGTATGGTCAGGATTCTTTTGGAAGCAGAAAAACATACCAAACAGCTTCTCATCTTTTACCATCCAGAGCCCCTGAGGAGCATCTACTGCCATCAGAAAAACATGCAAATAGTACTTACTGCACTGCCCTCCAGGGGTCTTAGGCTCAACTGAAGGTTTAGAAACATTCAAATTTATAACTGCCACACTTGGCGTCAGATTCACTTAGGATATAAGATGGGAAACACTGCTTACTAGCGAGCCAGAAACAGTTGCTCTTCTCTGGAAGTCTCTGCAGCTGTCTGTGTGGCATAGTTCAGGTGCAAGGAGACAGATCCACAGGGGGCAAGTTTGGAAGCTGCCCTGGCTTAAGAGCCCCTTGTCCCACGGGAACAAGCATCTCTTAGAACAGCTTCATAGACATGGCCTCCAGGGTCCCTATAAAAGACATGCCTGTTCCAAGAGTCACACTGTACTTAGGGAAGCCCAGGGCTGTGGCTTCCTATCAGGCTTCTTTAGTTATCCCAGTCCAGATGCAGTTTGCCAATTGGGGGTCGTTTTTACCATATGTAATGTTGCCTAGCAGTTGACATATGAATTTTTATTAGGTTGCCAGGGGAACAGAGCTAGAAAGTGAACAAAAGGTCAAATGCTCATGCAGAAGGGAAAGAGGCTTTGTTAATCCTTTACCAAACACTATGCTAAGCAATTGCACAATGGATATTGCACCTATTTCCTATAGAATATAGCCAGAGGAATTTCCTAGTAAAATATAACCCACCCTAACCCATTTTCCTCTCTTGAATAGTGTTCTTGGTGCTCAGTTGCTTGTGATGAATACACAGTTTGCGAATTTTGGTAAGGTGTATATAAGAGTTGGCTTAACAGTCAAAATGATCCCAGCCAGAACATCATGTATTATTATTATTATTTTTTTGTCATTTCATATGACATTGACTCATGAGAAATATATCATGTATTCTTTGGTGTCACTCATAATAGGCAAGTATAGTATGTCATACTGTAGGGACACTATCGAATGGACATGCCTGAGTATTCCATCAGTCATACTTTGATGGGAGCCTTTGTCCCCCTGGCAAACACCAAACACAAGGCTCTTGGTAACCATGCCTCTTATTCCTCTGTCACGTGATGCTATTCCTGCCTGCTTCTGTTGCTCCCAGCAGATCAATGAGAGAAGATGGCTGGTGATTCATTCAATAGTTATCGAACAATTATTTATGGAGTCCTTACTGTATGTCAAGCACAAAGGGTACTTCAGTGAACCAGCACAGTCGCTGCCCTCAAGGAGCCTGCAGTGTATAATTACAGAGACTAGCTGTTAAGCAGTTATAACACAACATGCTGGATGTGACAGAAGGACAAGCACAGGGTTCTCTGAGAATTTGTGGGTAGAGTACCTAGCCAGTCATAGAGCCACAGAGCAGCTTTCTGTCTAAGCTACTCTTCCTATCGAGTAAACTTCCAGCTTTGGCATACTATATTTATAAGCAGTTTAAACAGTTGCTGAAATTTCTTGCCTTTTCCCAAACATGGTGGCTTCAGTCACTAATAATGTTTAAATTACCTGTTTTATTCAGGTATGCAAAAATACTATACTATAAATAGAACATCCGAATATCCTAGTCTTTAGAAAACAGGCATCAGGTTTTCTTTTTTCTTAAAGACAGGGTCTTGCTCTGTTGCCAGGCTGGAATGCAGTTGTGCTATCTTGGCTCACTGCAACCTCTGCCTCCTGGGTTCAAGCAGTTCCCCTGCCTCAGCCTCCTGAGTAGCTGGGACTACAGATATGCACCACCATGCCTGGCTAATTTTTTGTGTTTTAGTAAAGATGGGGTTTTACCATGTTGGTCAGGCTGGTCTCGAACTCCTGACCTGATGATTCACCCACCTTTGCCTCTCAAAGTGCTAGCATTACAGGCGGGAGCCACTGTACCCAGCCAGGTGGTTTTCTTATTGAAAAAATAATATGGTTTTCTGGCCAGGCATGGCCTGTAATCCCAGCACTTTGGGAGGCTGAGGCAGGTGGATCATGAGGTCAGGAGTTCAAGACCAGCCTGACCAACATGGTGAAACCCCATCTCTACTAAAAATACAAAAATTAGCCACGCATAGTGGCGTGAACCTGTAATCCCAGCTACTCAGGAGGCTTAGGCAGGAGAATCACTTGAACCTGGAAGGTGGAGGTTGCAATGAGCTGAGATCACACCACTGCACTCCAGCTTGGGCAACAGAGTGAGACTCTGTCTCAAAAAAGAAAATAAATACATAAATAATAAAATAATAATATGATTTTCTTCTTTTTAAAAATAATATAGTATATAAATTATTATTGTTTAATTAAAAGTGACAACAACAAATAACTTCCCATTATGTTGATCCAGTGTACTGTGACAGATGGGGAGGAGCCCCACGGCATCTGGAGTGGGTCTTGTCTGGCCGTGTGAACTAGTTAATAGCTCAGAAATCAGGATACACGTCAGGCACGGTGGGTCACACCTGTAATCCCAGCATTTTGGGAGGCTGAGGTACGTGGATCACTTAAGGTCAGGAGTTCAAGACCAGCCTGACCAACATGGTGAAACTCCATCACTACTAAAAATATACAAAATTAGCTGGGCATGGTGGCACACACTTGTAATCCCAGCTACTTGGGCGGCTGAGGCAGAACTGCTTGAACCTGGGAGGCAGAGGTTGCAATGAGCTGAGATTGTGCCATTGCACTCCAGCCTGGGCAACAAAAGCAAAACTCCATCTCAGAAAAAAAAAAAAAAAAGAAAGAAATCAGGATACATATAGGACAGGACTATTAAATCAAGAGATTTGAGAGTTAGAAGGGACATGAGGGCTGGGCGTGGTAGCTCAAGCCTGTAATCCCAGCACTTTGGGAGGCCGAGGCGGGTGGATCACGAGGTCAAGAGATTAAGACCATCCTGGTCAACATGGTGAAACCCCGTCTCTACCGAAAATACAAAAAAATTAGCTGAGCATGCTGGTGCGTGCCTGTAATCCCAGCTACTCAGGAGGCTGAGGCAGGAGAATTGCCTGAACCCAGGAGGCAGAGGTTGCGGTGAGCCGAGATCACACCATTGCACTCCAGCCTGAGTAACAGAGCGAAACTGTGTCTCAAAAAAAAAAAAGAAGGGACATGAGAGATAGTCTAGTCCAACTCCATGTGACAGATGAATGACGTTTTTAGTTCTCACACAGCTGGTTAGGATAAGAAACCAGGTCCTGCCAGGCCAGTCCTGATAATAGACAGACATGTTTGGGCAGGCAGAAAAGACCATTCATAGATAACATTTGTTTCCATGGGTATCCATCATACCAGAGCCACAGGAGAGGAAAATGCTGTTTTGGCCTCATATGATAAAGTATGTATTGTGTGATTATGGTCTGCATTCCTGTAATGCTTAGACAGGGAGGGGGAAATCACGTGTCGAGCATGGGGGAGTTCATTTCTTTGTCTTGTAATGCCCGAACATATCTGAAACAGCATAAACCATGATGGAACACACACACACACACACACACACACACACACACACACGGCAAGTTAAAATATTCATTGTCTACTTCCTTAATATATGTCCTGTAGTTTATTGCAATTTAATCATTTTACTTGTTTCAAAAGTAAAAAAATATATATTATTAACTTGAAATTACTTTTTCTAACCTCTCTTATTTTTCTTTCTTTCTTTTTTGCTGTTGTTATAGAGTACTTCGTTATCAATGCAGATCTTTCCTTCTTTTTTAAGACAGAGTTCCACTGTGGAACCCAGGCTGGAATGCAGTGGTGCAATCTTGGCTCACTGCAACCTCTACCTTCCGGGTTTAAACAATTCTCATGCCTCAGCCTCCTGAGTAGTTGGGATTACAGACACATGCCATCATACCCGGCTAATTTTTGTATTCTTAGAGAAAATTAGTAGAGACGGGGTTTCACCATTTTGGTCAGGCTGGTCTTGAACTCCTAACCTCAGGTGATAATGCCCACCTCAGCCTTCCAAAGTGCTGGGATTACAGGTGTGAGCCACCGCATCCAGCTTCTAACTGATTTTTGAAATATAAATTGGGTGTGATTCAGGGAATGTAATGAGCAATCTTATTTGAAACAGGAAACCACATATTTAAGTCAGCAGCCCACATGATAGTATGGTATTGAGGAAAAATGTATTCTTAGGTATTTCTTGACTCAGTGGACTTTAATCAGTCTACTGCAAAAGCTAGCTTTATTTAAAGGTCTGCAATTATATATAAGAATTATTAGTAAAACAGATTAGCCACTTAACAATCTAAAAATACCTAGATGCAGTATTCCCAGTTGTTAATTTATCAAAACTTGTTATTTATCAAGTTTGGGATTAAAGTTAACTTAGGGCCATCAAAAATGCAAATTATCTCTAATTTGGTTAAATCAACCTGGGAGTAAACAGGTGATAATCTCAGCGTAAATTTTTGTTTTGATTTATATAAAGTCAGATTGAAATACCCTAGTTACAAGTTTAGAATAGGAGTGGCCTCAGCTAGGTTCAAGAAAAAGTCCTTTGTTCCTCTGTTGCTCATTTTGTCCTCAGAAACAAATACAATTGAATTATTTTCTGTACCTTCCCAAATTTGAAGCTGACCTGAATTTGGTACCTGCAAATTTAAAATGGCTAAGGTCAAAATAGTAAAAACAGTTCCTTTAGAATGAATGTGTTAGCTGGGTGTAGTGGTGCACACCTGTAGTCCTAGCTACCTGAGAGGCTAAGGTAGAGGGATTGCTTGAGCCCAGAAGTTCGAAGCTGCAGTGAGCTATGATCACGTCACCATGCTCCAGCCTGGGCAACAGAATGAGACCCTTTCTAAAAAAAAAAAAATTTTTTTTTAATTGAATGAATGCAATAGGGAATTGAGGATCTTCTCATATTAATGAATTAACAACCCTTCATAATTTTAGTTAACTGTTTTTCTCAGGGCAATATTTTGCATAAACTTCCAATCAAGAATTTTATGGACAAGATTTTAGTTAAGGAAAAAATTAATCCCACAAAAGAAAGAGAACTACTGAATAGAGCTTTAAACAGAAGAAACTTCCATCAAACCATTTTTCCCGCTTCTTTGTGCCATGGTATTAGGACCAACCATTTATTTATATGAGACAGTTTCTGGCAGACTATCCCAAGCCAGGACATTTTAGATTCTGTGCAGAAAGACTGACCACTCTTTGATGAATGGGTAATTCATGGTGTAATGTATGAAAAAAGTAAGGCAGACAACACAAACATCACAGGAAGCACGGCCATGCTAGGGTCTGAGCTCTGCAGTTACACACTGTCCAACAACTCTTGGAAGAAAAATAGAAACTGACTTTATCTTTCCCTGTCAAGTTTGCAAATGGATTAGTTCATTACAAAGGCACTTGTCAAAACATATTTCTTAAAAAGAGAAGCCAGCGTTGGAAATCATCTTGACCATTAAAAAAAATAGCAACTGATACCTTGTTTAAGAAGCGAGAAAGTTTCTGCTTTTTGGAATTGAATTGGTTTTTATGTTAAAGTGAAATGTACCAAGTCTGTTTATATAGGTCAGTGTTGCCCAAGTTGTGTTGTTTTGCTGTTTTTACTTTTTTATATATAAACAATGAAAATGATGAGAGAATAAATTAGTGGATATCATCTAAATCTGATTTCTCATTTCGGTGGTTTTGGCATTCCACTTTTTATATAAATCTTTAAGATGTGCATATTTTTGTTTTAAAAATTATTTCTGCTTAAACAACAGTTTCAAATATTTCTCTTTTGAAGACAGAAAGTTGGTTTAGTTTCAGCAATGTATTGATATAATTTTACATTTTTTTAAATGTAGAGGCTGGGTTTATTTAAGATTAGCTGGGCTCACTGCCTGCTCTTAAGAAAAACATGTATAGCCTAGAATGTTTTAAAAGATTCCCATAATAATACAGAACTGCTAACACTAAATATGCTTTCCATCTGTTTAAAGACTCATTAACTTCATTTAGTATTAGAAAAAAAGCTACTAGGTAGAACAGGGGTTAGGCTAAATCGTACTTGCTGCCTGCTGTTTTTTTTGTAAACAAAGTTACACTGGAAGACAGGTACATCCATTCCTTTTTGTCATTGTTTATGCCATCAGTGAAGAGTGGTTGCTACAGGCACCTTTTATCCACAAAGCCTACCATATTTACCATCTGGCCCTTCACAGAGAGATTGCCCACCTACGATGTTGGGCCGAACAAGAGATCTGTTACTGCTTATGTAGGGATGATGGAGGTAGAGTAAGTCCCTACTTTGGACCAATCTGTGAGCATCACAAGGATTTAAACATGTCTGGTATGTATGAAGGTCAGTGGAGTGGGCACTGCTAATCTGTATGAAGTTTTTTTGGGGGAAGTCACTGGAAGGATCTGGCCAGGAGAAAGATGGTCACTTGGCTCAGCTCCAGGGAAGTATGCCTGAGTCTTCCTTCCATTTGAGAGCTACATGCAGAAACTGAGCGTGACCTACAATCTTGGTGAGATGCTGGGAGTTCAAACTGCACTGCTATTTTTTTTTTTTTTAATACTGCCGCACTGCTTTAAATACCTGATGCCAGGTGGGAGGGCAGGGGCATTGCCCTGCACTTCCTCAACACTGCATGTCCTCAGGGTGTTCTTGGTACAGGTGTGGCCCAGGCAGTGGCAAGAGAAGTTGAGTCCCTGCTGGATGGGCTGTAAGGGTGAACACTAGAGGCAGCTAGGATTTCAGTTTTCCTGACACCTGCAATTCAGCAGCAAACCTCACAGAGGGAATCCAGAGAATCTGTCTTGGTCAGGGCACATTTGGCTTCAAGGAACAGATACTCAAGCAAGCTTAAAGCAATGATTCATAAAGTGTGGTCCTGGAACCAGCAGCATCAGCATCATCCAGGGAGATTCTGATGCAAACTAAAGTTTGAGAATAGCCGGGTATAGTGGCTCATGCCTATAATCCCAGCCTCCTTTGGGAGGCTGAGGTGGGCAGATCATGGGGTCAGGAGTTTGAGAACACCCTGGCCAACGCAGGGAAACCCTATCTCTACTAAAAATACAAAAATTAGCCGGCTGTGGTGGCGTGTGCCTGCAGTCCCAGCTACTCAGGAGGCTGAGGCAGGAGACTCACTGGAACCCAGGAGGTGGAGGTGGCAGTGAGACTAGACCACACCACTGCACTCCAGCAAGAGTGACAGAGTGAGACTCTGTCTCAAAAAAAAAAAAAAAAAAAAAGTTTGAGAATAGGTCGGGCACAGTGGCTCACGCCTGAATCTCGGCACTTTGGGAGACTGAGGCAGGGCGATCGCATGAGTTCACCAGTTCAAGACCAGCCTGGGCAATATGGTGAAACCCTACCTCAACAAAAAAATACAAAAATTAGCTGGGTGGGTGGTACAGGCCCATAGTTGCAGCTACTCTGGAGGCTGAGGTGGGAGGCTCACTTGAGTCCAAGAAGTTGAGACTACAGTGAGACATGATTGTGCCACTGCACTCTAGCTTGGACACTCAGAATGAGACCCTGTCTCAAAAAATTAAAAAAAAAAGTTTTGAGAATAGCTTTTATTCTTTATTTTTTTGAGACAGGGTCTCCCTCTGTCACCCAGGCTGGAGTGCAGTGGTGCAATCTTGGCTTACTGCAACCTCTACCTCCTGGGTTCAAGTGATTCTCCTACCTCAGCCTCCCAAGTAGCTGCAGGTGCCTGCCACCATGCCAGGCTGATTTTTGTATTTTTAGTAGAGACAGGGTTTTGCCAAGTTGGCCAGCTGGTTTTGAACTCCTGGTCTCAAGCGATCCACCCACCTTGGCCACCCAAAGTGCTGGGATTTCAGGCGTGAGCCACCTCGCCCAACCAGGAATAGTTTTAAGAGGATTTGTTTCTAATTAAAATGAGTGACTTTATGACATTTTGGGAGGGGAAATCAGCAGATCACCTGGAATCAGAAAGCAGGGGTGAGGCTGCTCCTGGTCAGTCATGTGCCCATGTTTCCTGTCCACTTCTGTTTGTACCAGTGTAGGGTCCCCAGCCACTCTCAGAAGACCACCTTTCTCCCACCCATTCCTCAGCTCAAAAGGGCTGCCCAGCCCTGACCTAACCACTGTCCTTTCCTGCAGTCCAAATCTTCCAAAGGAAAACACTCAGTTTCTGCCCAGCAAAAGATGGGTTCCTTCAGATCACATGGCACCCCTTGGGTCAAGAAGCAGGGGGATCTGACTGGGGATGGGTGGTGGTCATGAGGACAGGTCCCCTGAGAAAGGGGCCCTGGAGAGGGGCAGGAAAGTTGACCTACAAGTCTCCTAAATAAAGAAAATCATGGCTGGCAGGAAATTTGATAGGAACACACATGATATACTTCCAGGAGCTCCTAGAATTAAGTGGGGGAAAAGCTGCAGGTGGCTATACGGTTTTCCATTAGAAGGGGAGTAAAGTGTGTTTAGTTATTGGAAAACAGGTGCTTAAACAGAAACTTGTACACAAAAGTTCATAGCAGCTCTGTTCACAATAGCCTAAAGGTGGAAATACCCAAATGTTCATCAACTAATGAATGGATAAACAAAAACGTCACACACAGGCGCGTACACACACAGGTGGAATATTATTCATTCATCCATTAAAAGGAAGTTCTGATAAAAATATAAAAAATAAAAAAAATAAAGGAGGTTCTGATGCCTGCTACAACATGGAGGAACCTTGAAAACATTGCTTCGGGTGAGAGAAACCAGCCACAAAGGACCACATATTGTTTGATTCCATTTATATGAAATATCCTGGCTGGGCACAGTGGCTCACACCTGTAATCCCAGCACTTTGGGAGGCTGTGTGCAGATCACAAGATTAAGAGTTCGAGACCCACCTGGTGAGCATAGTGAAACCCGTCTCTACTAAAAATACAAAAAATTAGCCAGGCATGGTGGTGGGCGCCTGTAATCCCAGCTACTCCGGAGGCTGAGAGGCAGAAGAATCCCTTGAACCCGGGAGGCGGAGATTCCAGGGAGCCAAGATCGCACCATTGCATTCCAACCCCTGGTGACAATGCGAGACTCCATCTCAAAAACAAAAGAAAAAGGAAAATATTCTGAATAGGCAAATCTGTGAAGATAAAAATCCCAGTGGCAGTTGCTGGGAGGCCGAGGGAAGGAAGGAGTGGGGAGCGACTGCTCATGGGTGCTGGTGCCTTTGAGGTGATGAAAAAGTTTTGAAACATGGTGGTTGCACACCACCATGAAAATATTTAATTCCACTAAGTTGTATTTTCAACTAATATTGTGTATTTTACAATTTTAAAATAATCTATTGTTTCTGGGACACCCGTAGGCCCCCTTGGCAGGAGGGCTGTAGGCGGAATGGTTGTGGCTGCGCGCAGCGCGCGGAGTCGGGGGAGGGCGTCGGGGCTGCCAGGACCTGCAACCAGCCTGGTAGCGGGCGGCTGCGGCGGTGGCGTTGGGATGCGGGCCCAGGGAGCGCGGCCCCCAGACGTCCCCCCGCCGATAGCGCGGCGGGAGGCGCCAAGGCGACCGGGCGCCATATGCAGCCTGGGGCTCAGCGCTGGCAGCGTCGGCTTCGAGGGCCTGGGAGCGGCCTAGTAGGAGGCGCGGGCGGCTGCGGTGGGCGTTGACAGGCACCAGCTCCTGGCCACCCCTCCCGGCCCGCCGGGCCTGCCCCTCTGGCGTACCCCGCCCCCCCGCTCCCCGGGAGGGGCTGCGGAACAATGGCCGCGCAGCTCAGCCTGGCCCGGGGAAAAGCTGGAAGGCGCGCGGAGCCTCCTGGCGGCGGCAGCGGGAAGGCGGTGGGGATGGCGCCGGGCGTATCTGGAGCCGGCGCCGCGGACTACCGGGAAGCTTGGTTTGCGCGGCGCGGGCCAGCGAATTTTCAGAACCCCCCTCAGCTGGGCTTTGTCTGTCTCATCTCGACTGGATTCAGGTTCTGCATCCTAGACAGGACTGCCACAGAAGGGCTGCTGCGGTCTTCTCAACGCAGCACATCAAGTGGCACACAATTTCAGCTTGTCAGTTTGTCTCATCACTGATGATGCTCACTTTTATCTTTAAGATGCTGTCTGCTAGGCTTCACCGCTGTAAAGTCACGCCCACTTGGCAGTTATAATAAATATAAGTATTTTGTAGAGTGGTACTTTGAGATTACATGAATCACCCGTTTCTCATCAAACCTTTTAAATTTTATTTTTATTTTTGAGACAAGGTCTCGCTCTGTCGCCCAGACTAGAGTACTGTGGTGCTATCACGGTTCACTGCAGCCTCGACCTCACGGATTCAACCAATCCTCCCACTTCAGTCCCCCGAGTAGTTGGGACTACAGGCTGGTGTCCCTGGCTTTGGCCTCCCAAAATGCTGGGATTCCTAGTGTGAGCCACCGTACCCGGCCCATTTGTTTTTTAATACCACATGAACCCATGGTTTTCTTTCCCAGGCTGGAGAGCAATGGTGCGTTCTTGGCTCACAGCAACCTCCATCTCCTGGGTTCTAGCAATTCTCCTGCCTCAGCCTTCCAAGTAGCTGTGACTACAGGTGTGTGCAACCATGCCCAACTAATTTTTTTGTTTTTGTTTTAGTAGAGACAGGGTTTCACCACGTTGGCCAGGGTGGTCTCGTACTCCTGACCTCAGATGATCTGCTGGCCTCAGCCTCGAAAAGTG